TTTTCACTGATTATCTGTCTCATATACTATTGTCAGGATATAGTGAAATTTCCAGCAAATATGACATTTAGTCATTAGTTATTTTTATAAAAGTTACTTACTGCAGCTTCAAGTAAAAGATAAGGTTAAGGAAAGATCATGGATTCCATTACATTTCAATAAAATAAACTTGCTGCAGCTCATGCTTTAAGTAACTGTTGACTTTTTACCTTAACTAAGTGTGGGCATTCCGGACATTCATTAACAATGTTTCCTTATTATGTTAGTAAAAATGTAATCCACACAACCCTTTGCAATTCAAATGATATTAATACAGCTGAAGCCACACACAACATAAAAGGTACATGCAGGTATTCAACAACTATGTATGTTATTGAGCATCTCCTTTGCAGTATAGGCTATCAGTAATCAAGTGATGAAGTAATGTGGAGAAGAAATGTTCAGATGGTTCCATCAAAATGAGCTTCTTACCCTCTGGCCGAACTCTCCAGGTTCCCCAGGTAGACCCTGTAGACCCGGAGGACCCTGAGGAATAAAATGTTCAGCTACAGTTCAAAAGGCACAACTGCTGTTGTGAACTGCTCAGCACTGAATCTGAACAGGTGCTTCTTCCACAACAACAAAATATCTAAAGCTTAACAGCGACACAGAGGACACATGAAGGAATTAATAAATCAGGATTCTTACAGGAGGCCCTGGATGGCCCTCGGCCCCCGGAGGCCCAGCAGGTCCAGGTTCTCCCTAAAACAGGTCAAACACATGAGTAAGCTATAATACAGAAGATAAGAGTTACAGTTTAAACCGTCCAGTTGAAATTATTGGGATAGGAAACCATTTAAAACATACACACATGTGCATTGAAAGTTCATGTTTTTGTGTTCATGTTGATGACTGCATTGGAATGACTGGATGATCTCTGCATTAATAATATGCTACCCAATATGCTTTTCCTAATATACAGTAGTCAAGTATACTTTATAATAACTAATACTATAAGGTAGTTTAAATCTTTACTACATGATTTTGTTATTGAACACTCACCTTTTCACCTCGTAAACCTTCTTTTTGAAACTGAAATAAGAAAAGATGGACAGCTATGTTATTTTCAAATGAGTATCTCATTGTGTTACCTTGGTCTAATTAAATGAGGCCATGGACAATACAACTGGTTACCCTTCTCTAGTCACATAGCACATCTAGAAAAATATAATGTTGCTTCAGAAACAAAATATACTGGAAGAATGTGTTCTCCTGTCCACCATAGGGGTGGGAATTATTTTCATTATATTCAAATTGCTCATTATGTTTTGATTAATAATTTATTTATAAAATGTCAGGAAATAGTCAAAAGGCTTGCTACATTCCAGAATTAAAATCGTTTGTTCAAAACCCCCCAAAAATTCTGTTTCTTATAATATTCCTCCTTGACATGTAGCTACGCCGACACTGTTCCCAGTGTTTAAAATGACTAACTTCAACCATGTTGTCATATCAACATTATTATCTGTGTATGTGTGTGTACGTTTACATGTAATAGTGTTTGTTGTCTTTTCTGTTATTGTTTTTTGCTGACATAAAGAGTACAGAGACTCTCCGTGTGATGTGCACAAACTCAGTCAATGATCAAACTGAAGTATATGGCCAAGAAAAGCATCAGCATCCTCATATTTTAGAAGCTGGGACTGGCAAATTTTTCAAAATTACTGAAATGATTAATCGACTATCAAAATGGCTGCTGATTTATTTCTGGCTAATCAGTTAATTAACTAATCATTTTGCTTCTGTCTGGCGAACAGCACCCTCTCTAGAGAATGTGCTTTCAGCTAAAGAACAAGGTCAGTGTCTTGTGCATGATTACCTGGTTTGTTTGGAGTAATAATAATACAAATGAACAACTGACGATGTATAATACATTTTTTTGTTTGTTTTTTCAAAAATGCTGTTCTGGCTCCATCACTCCATTATGTTCTTCATTGCTAAAGAAGCCAGAATGATAAGAACATAATTCTTCTTATATCCTTCTGGTTTATTTTTGGTACTTACCACATCTCCAGGTAATCCGGGAAGGCCTCTCTCCCCCTGTGACGTAGTGCACACAACAAGGATGAAACCCCCGTCATTAGAATCAAGAGACTTTCAGAATGAAGCACCTCAAGCAATATGGTAATGATACAGTAACGACCATAATTTATGAGATGACGCGTGTGTACTTAAGGCCTTAAGGAAAGTGAAACTTGCGGGTACAGTACCACGGCAATTCTTTGTGCATGTGTGTATGCATGCACCCTTGTGCATGCATATGGGTGTGGTACAAGTATGTGTGCACCACTGGAAGAATCCTCAAAGTCAGTAATTACAGACAGACAAATGAACTCTGCTTTTTATTTTCTCAGACAAATGAGTGGGCTGACTTTGATGGTACACAGAGGAGACTGAGGAATGTCTGAGAGTGCAGACAGTAGCATGGGAAAATGATTATACCTCTTTAAAATGATTTATCAGTGCAGCTTAATAACATTATGCTTACGGTATTATCCTCTTCGAATTGTTTCTAATCAAGTGAGCAGAGTGTGTATACAGCACAGGAGCGAGAGTAGCATACCTTGGTGCCTTTAACTCCACTGGGTCCGGGTGTGCCAGCCAGTCCTCTCAAACCCTAATCAATTTTAGACAAAAGCTTCATTAATACAAAGGTGACTCACACAATCCATCACAGATGAATATCTGTGGTTTGTTTATCTTAGGCAGAGGATCACAACTTACATCTTTCCCAGAAACACCAGGTTTGCCAGGTAATCCATCCAAACCTGCTTCGCCCTGAAATGGAAACAAGTGTACGAGAAAACATGTATAAAGTATTGCTAACTGTGGAAGACAACGTAAGGTTCAAGTAAGGCCTAATTCCGTCTATGTTATACAAATAAATATCAGTTGTACTGTACTGCGTGTGCAGCTACCATGGCAAGAAATTCAAATGTCATCAACAGAAAATCCAAGATCTGTCAGTAACAAAATGGAAAAATCAAGCACTATGAAAAGCACAAAACTTAAGGGTCTACAGCCAAGCAGCTTGCTCTGTGAGGGTGTACTGTGGTACTGTGCTCTCTAAATACATCCATAACAGCGTTGCATTGAGCTAAATGCTAACATTAGCATGCTAAGATGCTCACAATGACAATATTAGCATGTTAAAGGTATATTTTTATGATTAGTAATAGTATCTTAGTTTAGCATGCTAAGATTTACTAATTAGCACTAAACACAAACTGCAGCTGAGGCTGATGGGAACGTCATTCGTCATTCAGTCACCAGTAAGTCAAACCAGTAAGTATTGAACAAGGTGCAATTTTGACCTGATGGTGGCACCAAATGAAAAGTCAGGGAACACTTAGTTCATCCAGTGGTGAACATGAATGTCTGTACCAAATTGTATGGCAATGCTTAAAACAATTGTTGAGATATTTCACTCAAGTGAGTGAGTTCACAAATGGTGACGTTAGAGGAGAAGTCCTGGGATCACCAATGACTCATTATTTGGGAACCATGAATGCCTGTACCAAATTGTTTGCTAGTCCATCCAGTACATGTCCAGTTTTCCCAATAGATATGTGAAAACGTTGACCTTCTGGTGGTGCTAGATTATAAAGTCAGCAGATCATTAGGATTCATCCTCTGGGCACTATTTATATCGGCACCAAATTTCCCAGCCGTCCATCCAGTTGAGATATTTCTGTCTGGATCAAAGTGGTGGACTGACTGGCCCGCATTACAGTACCATCCCTAGAGCCATGCCACTAGCATGGCTAACAGAGAGCAGATTTTTAAGCAGTGGACAGTGCTGTGTAACCCAAAACACACGTCTGACTTTTCAGTCAGCAAACCTGACTTTAACCCCATATGCCTCCTCTAAACCACCTATTCTCTTTATCACTTCACTGAGGCAAGTACTTTTCCAGTTTTCGCCTACAGGAAATTGCTTACTGACTGACTGACTGACTGACTGGATGACAGACAGCTCCAAACCTGGCATCCGCATGTTTGAATGGAGCTTCAGTATACCTCGAACCTGCAACACATCCTCATGCCATATGGCAAAGTAATCAATGTACTGACTCCGTGTTTACTACTATATACAGACCCCTAAAAGTCGTTTAAATTTAAATTCAAGTTGACATCTCAGCATGATACAAAAGTAATTGCTACAACTCTTTCTCATATCGTCCTGCTGCGGTTCCTCAATTTGTTACTTATCGTATCACTGAAATCCTAAAAACATCTTGACAACTTGACATCACCTGGAAACCACTGTGATGCTGCCAGGAGATAACCTTTCACTGATTTATTAGAAGAGTCTGAATTGTGTCCTAACATCAGTTTAAAGGCACAAGGGGGAAGGTGTTCGTGGTGACTCAGAGGAAACTTCAGACATCAACAAAGCTTTAGCAGGCCTGAATGAGCTGCATTATAGCCAAACGCCCCCTCAGAATCCTAGACAGGAAGTGTGGAGAGTGAATCAAGGAAGCCACATCTGTTTACACAATCACGCCCCTCACTTCTCAGCTCCTCTGAGAAGAATGTTCTCTCTCAGAAGTTAACCCTGTCGTATTTGCAGTATGAACTCTGTTCTGCACAGGTTCAAACTAGCATCATGGTTCACGTCCCAGGAAAACAGCAATGAGTTTCTTAGCATCTACTATTTTGATCAAGTGCTCTTGAGTGAGATGCTGAACCCCTATCTTCTGCAGTAGACCTTTTAGGCCAACATTAACTCATATAAGAACATGTGAAACGGTGTGAATGTGCTCGTGCTGATCTGTTAATATTCAACAATTCAAATGTGATATTTCTTATATCAAGGAACTGGTGCAGTATTACTTACCTTGGTTCCTGGAGTTCCTTTTTCACCTTTTATACCGGATTCACCCTACAACGAAACATCATAATATTAATTTCAAAAATAAATATTATCATTTATTAATATCAGATCTTAACTGATCATTTGGTGAGGTGCATTAAGAGTATACTCACAGCGACACCTTGTGGTCCCGGCACGCCAGGAATTCCTGCATCCCCTTGAATTCCCTATATGATATAAATCGAGCAACATTATATTAGTGGGCATTATTGACTTGGGACTCTCCAAAAGTGTCACTACTGACTCAGCAGTCCCCCAGTTGGCCTGCAGTATACTGCTGAGTCAGAGCTTAATCAGTGTAAGAAACTGAACTGACCAGCTAAGAAACCTGAAACCCAAAAAAAGAAACGGCAGTTGTCAGTGACAAGACCGCCTAAGCAGGCGACCTTGACCGGATATTTGAAGCCTTTTGAATAACTTTCAAATGTTTACACTGTAACTCCCAGACAGTTTTATTGAAGACATTTGTTTCCTTTTATGCTCTTAATCAGGTCTATCACAGCAATGTAGAAAAACTATAATTTAATCAAACTGTCAGCTTGATTTTGAAAGCTCAGTTTTGTGACTATTTTCTCTTCAGTCCTTAGCAATTTGCTTTGTGTGCAACATCAACTACTGATAATCAGATCATTCACTAATGTATTGTAAAGTAAAATTTTTCATTAAAGACATTTTGACTTGTCACAGAAGAAAAGCACAGGTGAAAATTATTAAATTAAAGATGGCTGAATTTTCTGAATTCCATTTGGCTCCCTGTCACACTGTTATCATTAATGTTATTGATTGCTTTTCCTGTAAACTGGGCCCATTTTAGGCTACTGTAAGTCAGCTGTTTCCTATGGTCAGGCTAACAGCCTGCTGGCTAAAATGTGTTGTCATTACTGCTCAACTCAAAAGCTTTGTTATTATGAATATTTAACTATTCGAGAGCAGATAAACTCAACAAACCACAGCCTGGCATATTGTAGCCGTAATGGCTAACGAGGTAGCAAACAGTTGCTTACTAAGATAACTAACATACATGGGGCAACATTAGCTTGCATTTAGAGACATTTCTGGATCTTTTATGAATGCAAGTCCAATATTCACTCTCCTTTTTGTTCTGGTTTGGTCTGATCAACTCCTGAGACAAATGTGTGTCTCTTTAGCTGCTAACTAGATACTTGACTTTGTTAACTAGCTAGTGTTAATTGCTAACTTTGTCTGCTGTTTGTGCTACAGTAGGTAGCTAGCATACAGGGCTCATCAGAGATGTTTTGCTTGAAACCAAACAGCTGCCATTTTTTGCTCAAAACGGATCCTAGTGAGAGCTAAACACATTAAACAATACAGTAAATGTGCCCTAAAAACCAAACAATGAGTTAAATGAGACTAAATAGTTATGTGATCATTCTCTGTGAATTAATTTATTGTGTGTTTTAATCAAACACATCCCACAAAACATATAGTACAGATTGGGCACCATATCTGCAAAGCTAGCCATCAGTGGTAAACAACTGTCAGAAGGCTTCTATTTGAGTGCTCACCTACTTATGCACATATATTTTATACATATATATGTTGTGGCAATTTCACACCACATGTTAATGGTAATACTATATATTAGGACAAAGCTGGGGTTAGGAGGTGATTTCTATTTTGTTAGCCTTTCTCATGCATCTTCAGTCTCTAACCCTTGCCATGAGAGTAGCATTTAGTAGTGATTTAGTATTCCCTGAGTTGTATCAAAAGGGGGCGATCATTCTCTCCAGTCCTGGGTCGAGCAGCCTGTCACAGTCCATTGGCCAAACCTCAGCCAGCGCCCCTCCCTCCTCCCCCTGCTGGCTCTTTCACCAGCTGCTGCTTCATCCAAGGGAAAGTCAACCAAACTGGCCCCCTTTCTCACAGGAAATCGATAACAGGCTGAGAGGTAATTGTCCAGAAAAACGTATGTACGCCCACTTAACAGAACAAGTGCATCTCTGGGATCAGTGCCAAAGCCAGAATGACTAAAGATCCTTTATTTTTATTTTTTTGCCCGCATCAACACTATTTTGAAATCCTCACAACAATGAGCCAAATGTATGTGTGCTGGATTAAAAATGGAAAGACCACATTCACACACCTTTAGTCCAGCTGGTCCTGGCAGCCCTGGATCACCAGATACTCCTGCCGCACCCTATTTACCAAGAAAAACGTGAAAAAATTTGCATTTTTAAGTGTCACAAACCCTGACTGAAATATCAAAACATTTGTGTCTTACTTTGTCTCCCTTGTCTCCAGATAAGCCATCAATACCTGGCACACCACCAAGTCCCTGTGAGATGATTGGAAACAGAGAGTTAACACCAGCATGTGAACTTTTAAGATTCAACATAAAAAAGAAATCCTCCACATGTCCGGGTTCTCAAGTGGCACACCTTCTCTCCTTTTTGTCCAGGAGCACCTGTCAACCCTATCCTGCCTGTATCACCCTGTAAACAGAAGGCAAGTATTTACTTAGACTGTTCTGTAATACAGAAGCATGCAGGATGGCCGGTAAGTACAGGCGACGATGGCGTGCTGTCAGAGTATCAACCTGCTAGCATCACACAACATGGTTTAGTACACGGTGGCTGGAGGATTAATGTAGAATTGACTTGATTAAAGGTGCTGTAAGCAAAATCAGCATTTTGGCTAACTTCCAGTCTGTCCCTGCATTTAGCAGTCCCCCCCTGAAATTCTGCTGACCGTCTTTCGTGGAGTCCTCTCTCCTGATTGGATAAAGTTGGAACGGGACATCAGAAAACATATGCTGTATTCTAAACACAGCATGCAGTATGTAGCACATGCTACCCCCGCAGGCACTTGTGGAGCTTCTCAACTCCAAAAATGTTGGAGCACATTTTCGTTTTTGCCAACAACTTTCTTAAAACCAAAGCCAATATTTGAAATCTACACAGTTGATTTCTCGCCTAAAAAAGGATCAGAAGTGACTTTGGTAAGGCATATGAAACTTGCACAAAACCTTCCATTGTTGACCTTCAGCTGTTGTGATCATTCCAGCACTTTGCACTGTGAGACACAAGAGGCAAGAGGTAGGTAGGTATTTTTGCCATACTGCAGATTTAGCTTTTGTTTGTACACTGCATACTACATGCTATACTTTGAACAAGTCAGTACGTACTGCTAGTATAGCACGCAGTTACAAATACAGCCTCAGTTTACTGCAGAAAGTGTTACTGACTGAACACTCTATATCAGTAATGGCTGTCAGAATGTAAAGCTATTTAACTTATTTGAACAAAAACTCACTTACAGCACCTTTAATTGAACAGTGGAACACACAATAAGACAGACATTTGGACAAAAGACAGAGGTTAACGTTACACACAGTACACAAGGAGTTATACAAGTCAAGATACACAAAAACACAAACTTTTGAGTAAATGTTTGGGAGCCAAAATATGCTAACAGCTGTCAAACGCTTTACCAAGACCCACTATGGTCTGGTCGCACATCCAACCAAAGACTCAATGAACAATGGCTTTCTATTGTCTTCAGAGTGATGCACTTTTGGTCTGTGTACTGATGTCATATGCTGTGCCAAGGAATCCCTTGGAATCCGAAAAGCTGGACTGTGTGAAAAGTAATGGCTGTTAAATTACACCCTACCACAAGGTCTTGCCCACCGCAAGACTTCCCTCTGCTTCATAAACCACTTTACTAGTCACAGAAGGTTGCCCTTTAATTATTTTAGGAGCTTATATCATTTTAACGCACGTAATTTCTTTCATCAAAGAGATTAGGAGAAAGGCCCCCGCTCGAATGTGCTCTATAACGAAAAAGACATTATCTACAACAACGCTGCTACACGGGGAATTGCCTGTTCTTGTCGGTTAAAGATGCAATTAGAAGCAATCAAAGCCGGATGAATTCACTTTCACCCCATGCGACTCGATGACCGACATAGCCATTTTTAACCACAGCTTGAAGTCGGCTTACGTCATTTTTTTGCATCAGCTTTGGAGAAGTTTACAACAACAAATTGCAGCCTTTTCTGGGAGAAAGTGAAGACAGATGCTCATGCAGACAGTAAGAAATAGAAAAGCAACAGGGATGCTCAGCATTAAAGTTTGATTTAATGCTGTTTTATCAAACCAGCAAGGTTTCCAGGAGTAAGAACTACAAAATGAATATAAATGTATCATGACATGAGTTCTGCTTTCTGTCTGACTGCATTACTGACATAAAATAAGAAAGCTGGAGTTATATATGGGAGGTACCCCTGTATTATCCAGACGAACCACATTCTAAAAACTATCACAACCAAAGTAGATAACACAAGTGAGAAGACCATGTCTCGTCTTCCAGACCTCTTGTGGCCATTTTAAGTGTCCCTCTCTGGACAGCTTGAATGATGCACACCGACGATTTTGTCTCAAGGAATAAATTATACTCCGAGACTCCCAGCTGGCACTGCCAGGCAGTAGAGAGGCTGTGATTTGAACTGGGTGGGCGTCTGCGTAGACCTGCCCTCTCTGCTACACATCCTCTGTGGTAACCTGTCCTGTAATTCTGACAATAACAGCTATGAGCATTTTCCTAGCCACTCCCTGACAGAAAAGACGTCGACAGAAAAACATCAAACAAAAGATAGGAGAAAAGGAAAGACAGAAAATATCATTTTTGTAAGAAAAAAAATAGAAAATAGGGTCATGCATATAAATGTATTTGGGTTAACATGATGCCCATGCAGCATCAGTCAGAGCAGGTTTACTTACCTTCTCACCTCTGTCACCTTTGACAGAGATTACTTTGCCCTGCAAATAATTAATCGATAAAGATCAATTATTATCGAGGCCGGTAGAAAAGCAGATGAGATAATAGCTGGAAGGCATGCAATGTGTATGATAGTAAATCTACAGTACAACAAAGCTTGAAACTATCATAAGCACTAGAGACGATGTGCTGAAGAAACTCAGTCAATTTAGAAATACTACTCTTGTGAATGTGCACACTTTAGGTTTTCATACAGTTTCTCCTTTTTCTCCTCTGATTCCAGGCGGTCCTATGGCGCCCTTAGAGCCAGTGTCACCCTGAAAATGTATGTTCACACAGTAAAAAAGAAGAACAAACAACTCTGGAACTTAATGGAACTGTAGTTACACACAAACTAGTACTTAAAGGCAATGGTAGATGACCTTTTCACCCATAGGTCCTGCAACACCGGGAGCGCCAATCTCTCCCTGTGAGAAATGAAAACACAGACATCTTTCGAAAGCCATTAAAGAAACGATTCCCACTCATCCATGGAAATAATAGACAGGTATAAAGTCTGGTAGAGGCAGGTGGCTTTACCTTCTGTCCTGCAGGGCAGGAGCAGTTCACTTGAGGGCCTCTTTGTTGCTCCACAACAGTAGGTGTTGGAGTGATGATCTCCACTGGGGGGGCCTCTGTAACAACTTTCTTAGGGCACTGAAAAGAGAATATTTAAGCCAACACTGATCATCAAAACCAAAAAATGAAGGGATGGTAGTGTGAATGAGGTTGCACGAGGATCTGATGAGCATTAAGGAACTCTGACTTAACAATAAAGGTCTTTCAGATGACCTTCTATGGCTGTTAAGCTGTCTGTGTCTTTTTCCTGCGCATTAATTATGGTGCTGGGGAAAAAAATTATATATGCAGCCAGAATGTGATTGGAAACAGCTAGCCTGGCTACAGAGTTTAAAAACATACATATCAACACTTTAAGCTACATTGTTTTAAAATGGTTTTACATGAAACTCTATGCTGTAACAATATGTTAGCTAACAATGGCGGGCACAGTGACTTGTCTCTTTATCTTGTCTTCACCGCACGGTTGCTAGCTAACCAGCAGAGGCTCCAGGCATAATTACCAAAATGTATACCTTCACATGTAACACTGTCTGGCTCAACCAAAAATAGGTGGTTGATTTATGCACACTTGTGACTGGAAACTCATAATTTTGTCACTGATAATACAGCTGATTTTTTTTTAGCTTAGCTAGCAGCTAACAGCCATTGCCTTGTTGTGAGCAGAGCCCTGTAGCAAAAGCCTGTAATAGTTTTAGTACCTTCACAGAATGCCTGGTGACATGTTAGCTACAGTAGGTAGCACAAAAAAACTAAATGTTCACGCTAACCTAGGTCTTTGTTTTTCAAGCTAAAAATCTGAGTGTTTTTAATTAGGGACTAGTTTGGACTAAAGACAGGACAGTTTATTGTGTTAAAGTGTCCTGCAATTAGAAACAAATCTACATATCTGACTGCAACTTTTAATTCAAACAGATCCAGTCAGTCTTTGTTTCACAACTTATTTGTTGAGAGCCAAATCTTTAATTCATCACCATGATTGTTGACACATACTAAAATACTTACGGGTCCATTGGGTAAATCACAGCAGGCTTCCAGCTCTGCATGCTTGGAGTCACAGTAAATCATCATCCTCTGGAGGTCAAACTGCATGGACACCGACAAACAATGAAAAGAGCAATCTCAAGAAAGTAACCTTGGCTTACACCCTTGGCTTACACTTCTATCTCACACAATATCTCCAGAGTGGAGGCTATGAGGACATTTAAAATGCACCACTACCTGCTCTCATAATGCTTCATTTCACTGCATGAGTACATTAAACTACTACACATGCAGGCATAGACTCACATCAATTGGCACGCTGTCATACAGCCTCTTCCCAATCACTGTCTTCCCCTGAATATCAATGTCCTCCCTGTCCTCAATAGGCAGAGTCTGGATGAGTTTGCAGTCCAGGTACAGAGACACAGACTTGGCTTCGACACTGAGGCCAATCTTGTGCCAGTTGCGGTCAAACAGGTTGTCCACTTCTGGGTTCTTGAACACAGCTCTGACAGCATCCTTTGTCAGCCCGACAGCGTTGTACTCCACCGCCTTGTTCTCACCGTCCAGGCGGATGGACACCTGACAAGTCAGAGGCAAAATAATGTCAAGGATAGCAGGTGAAAAAGTACAGGCAGTCAAGTTCAAGTCAAGATGTACAGAGATCCGAAAACATTGTTGTCTGTAGAGGCAAATTATGAAAGTAAACAATTAATCTAATTTAAGGTACAAAGTTAATTTTTTTTATACAAGATTTGTAAGATCATATAAAAGCTTTAAAAAAAATTAACATGCATCATTATGGTATTACATATAGTATTATAATTTTAGATTCCATTTGAAAATGATCAGGAGTCTTCATTTTATTTGGCTTGGTAGAGGTAAATACACCATTTCCCAGTTTAACACCCAATAATTTAAAAAGGATCTGAAATAGTCAGTGAGCTGAGCCTATTCTAAGTTGACCTTGTAATAGTCACATTTATTACTATTTACTTTTCGTTGACCCACCTGTGGGATTCCATATTTGTCAAAAACCTGCCAGAGGTACCAATCTTCACGCCTTGAGGTTTTCCTGAACTTGAATGTCGTCACAAAGGCATATTCATCTGGCAACCCTTGAGAAAACACGTCTCTGCAGAGTAAAAGAACATTGTTATTGCTAACAAACTGTGTTTTATTTTACTCTGTGATAAACACACACTTGCAGTGACCCCATTACAGTTTAGACATTAATGTACAAACCCCAAATTAAACAGTGTCTATGTTTCACCACGTAACTGCTTTGTCTATATACGCTGTTCCTGCTTCCTACTCAGAGTGACATTTTATTATTTTTATGATGAACAGAACATCTGCATACAGTGTTTTAACATCCACTGTATACTCAGCCTACTAAAACCTTTGATAAACATGCATGGAGACATTCTTTTTGTATTCATATTTTTTCCAGCATATGTTGAACTATTTGTTTTTACAATATATACAATATATTAATTAGATAAGATAATGCTTATATGTCTAGATGAACTTAAAATCTGGAACAGCCTGTTGGGAGAAATCATTTTGAATAGTCAAATTAGAGTCATCCACATCTAAATACCTTGCTTTGTGACTACTCTCATGCCTGCACTGTAATATGAAGCTGCAGCCAGCAGCCAGTTAGCTTAGCTTAGCATATTGACTGGAAACAGCTAGCCTGGAGCTGCACAGTGCACACAGGTACGAAAACCGGCCTATGAGCCCATTCTGGTTTTATATATAGAACCAGAACTTTACTTGTTTACACAATAATGTGTTAATAAACAGCCATTTTTTGCGAGGTTTAGAGAAGTTGATAGATGGATCTTTACCTTCGGATAGAGCCAAGCATCTTTGTGCTAAGCTAAGCTAACTGGCTACTTTATATAGCTTCATATTTACCTTACAGACATGGGAGTGGAATCAATATCCTTATATAACGCTTGGCAAGTAAGCAAACAGGTATTTTGGGAATTATAACAAAATGCTGAACTACTCTTTTAATCAAGTGCATTGACAGGGTACATACACAATCCATAGAGGGGGGTGGGTATTACTGCGGCCATGACTTCCCATCAGATCTTTACAAATATTTAATGTGCAGTGTAATGTTTGTAGTGTAACAGGGTGGTCACTTACTCTGTTTGCTGTACAATGGGCATGGTGCCAAGGCGGACATAAGAACTTTGGCCATCATCATCTCTGGTTCCCAGAATATCTCTCACATTGAAATACTCCATTAGGTCGAACCCTGCAGCAAGCACAGTAAAATAGCCTAGTTGGACTCGAGACAGTCTCCACACACGCGTAAATAAGCACACAGGGCTCTTGAGTCGTGAGGTTGAGTTATGGTTTTGTCAGATTTCTCGGGGTATGCTGGGGTTTAATTGGGTCAGCCTCACCACACCCTGAAGCCACTGTGTTTGTGGCTTTTTGGAGGAAGATTAAAATCACAGTATTACTGAATAACTGGAAAATAGGGCCATTTGTTGGCCATTCAGATTGTTAGATTTGCTGCCAGAGGAAAAAACTAGTTGCCATCTCTGAGAGTCTAAAAGTGTGTGCACGTGTGTGTACGTTGCCCAGCAGTGTGTGATTTGAAGTGGTGTAACCACAGACCGTATTTAGGTGGTTTAGAAAGGACACTCCCTTGTACAACAAACAAGTGCTGTAGCTATGGTAATGCCATCAGAACCATCGTAATGTGGTTTGTGTATAGCAGATCTCACTGAAGGCTGGTGGTCATGTTGAGCTCTTCTGAAACAGACTGTGCCTTTAGTGAGCCAGCAAGACGAGGTCAGCCTCAACATATTCCTGCACGGACTTATAGTAATGCAGAAAAATCTGTGAGACGTAAGGTTTCCGGTGGGAATAGTAACACCAGTGGACTAATCTTCCAAGGAGTGGATGTCATTAGAAATAGCCTGGAAACAGGTGGTAAGACACCCAGGCTGCCCCTGTGCCACTAGTAACAGAGTAAAAAATAACAGTAAAAACCAGAGCCGTCATAACAGACTGAATAAGTGAGGGGATCACAGCTACTTTGTCTGTCAGGAAAGGCCACCATGTGTCCCAGATGCACTGTTAGGGATGACAGATTACTATGCACTCAGATTACTCTTCACACAGGGTGGAGAGTTTCTCTGTGCTGGTTGGTATATGAATAAGACCTCTTTGGGGGGACATTTCTCATACACTTCCATTAATTTCGGAAGTCATTATTCACTTGCATCTTTAAAAGCTACCTCTGCTGGTCAGTAAACACCTTTGACTCAAATACTGTTTGCCTTGAGTTTCTCATTTTTTGTAGTTTATGTACTTTTTCCATCAATTTTGTATTAATGTGGTTAATAAGTTGAGTTATATAACACGAAATTATGTGCTTGATCTTGATACTTTGGGCTTTGAGTCAGCTTCATGCACAAGCCTAAAATTTTGACTTTTTGTATCTTGCCACGTTTGAAACAAAAGTGCAGGTTTTTTTTATTTCATGACCTTATATGCTATCAATGGCTTAGCTTTTATAGCATTATCACATGCTTACTTTGTGGCAAGACATTATCCCACATAGCAATATTGGTTTGGCCCATACACTCGGCCCAAATACAGCAATAAATGACGGTCCAGATCTGGTAGCCACATATGGCCTATGATATAGCCATATCTCAGCCAGCTGTATGACCATAGCTGGCCCTATTCTGGCCCTATGTTGGACGAGACAAGTTTCAGCAATGTTGTGGCCATGGTTTACAAAAGCATTTACTGGCTCAATTTCCATATTTAACTATTTGTCTGCACATTAATGCTGTCCTGACAGGAGGAAGAGAATGAGGGACAGTTGGCTGAGATGTAGCTATGTCACGGGCCATAAGTAGCTAACAGATCTGGGCCACCTGTGGACTGCAACTCATTGCTGTATTTGGGCTGAATGTAAGTGGGCTGTGTGGACCGTCACTGGGCCAGACCAATTTTGCCATGTCCCGATCAGTATAACTAGCATACCTGAGAGTGTGTGAGTGCTGGAATTAGACACATTACTGTGGCTTTGTTCTCTAATTGTATCTTTGTAATCTTCAAGTTTCAAGTTTCAAGTTTCCCCTTGTTCAAAATCAAAGGACACACTTATATTCGCAAAAACACACCATGTCAGGCGAATACATTCAGCTCATTAAAATCTGCTGACAGAAGTCTGGTGTAAAACAGCTTTGCTTACTTTTGAATCAGAGCGGAAATACTTTAGCAAGTAAAAAGATCAAGCAACTAATGTTCTCTAATGCTCAGCTCTGTCTTTTGAGCACTGGTGATGCATGCAAAAGGGATGTTTTGCCGCTCATCAGTCTGGCTGAAGGGTTGCTCGAGGAAGCCATGCAGCTGTGAGTTTTGCTGGCTCCGACTCTCTCTGTCACCATGCTTGCATCGCTCACCGCGCCATTTCTTTGGCTGTTTGTGGGCCATCTCAGCACAGAGCTGTAATTTGGACTGGCAGTGGATAGCGTATAATCAACCCAAAAAGTTATTTTGGACAGCCAAAAACGACCAATGGGGTGATCTGCGGGAAAAGCCAGATGAGTTCACTAACTGGGAAAAAGCAAACGCATACAAACACAGCATTCTTTTGATCAGAGCAGATGGCAACATTTGTGCAGTAGATAGTGAGACAGAGCCGCAAACACACTCTGCATCCTCCTGTGTGTGCTCAGTACCCTGAGGGGTCAGACAGCCCATGATAAATACAAGTCTGACTCAAACCGCAGGTCTCTTGGCTGTCAAATTATAATCAGTGACAAATAGTCTCGACATTTCTCACGGAGAATTACACTCTCTGCACCAGCGTAGAGAGCATTTGTTGTGTGATTATAAGAGGGAACCTGCAGGAGCTGCTGGTGTAGTGACGATAAGTACTGTTTGTCTAGTACTTCTGTGTATGTAGAGAAAGTCTCTATGTGCTTACTGTAGGCACAATTTGAAAAAAAAGTTCTTTACTGAATTAAGTTCGAGAATGTATGTCTTAAAGCTGGGCCACAGTTACAGACTGCATTTTGGAAAACCCCGGACATCTTTGTCATGTCAGGCAGCTTCAGACTTCAGACCACTGTTTGATGACATTTTGCCCCCAGTAGGGCCCAGTTCAGGTTTGGGCTGTTAGATGTGATTATGACTTGGGCTGAGCGAGTACTTGGCTAAAAATTAGTATCCGGTAAGTTCTCTTGGTCTTATCAAAAGCATTGCTCTGAAGATCAATTCTGAGGTTTTCTACAATAACAATAGCAACTTCTGATCAACTGATATCGATTTCAGGCTTAAATAAACAACTTCTGATGAGTCCCACCCACTTACAACTTCAGCTCCATCCATGTATAATATAAGCTTTACCCTTACGGTAAAAAAATAAATTAGTTGTTTGAACAGATGCAGACACAGATGAAGGTGTACTTGCTGATCCTTAAACATGACACAACAGTCTGTGCTATAAAGAAAGCCAATAATCATCTAAAGTTGAATAAAAACAATTTTTTTTAAGGTACCGGCTGGTCCTTTGACCATACTGTGGTAACTGTTACAACTTAGAAATCTATTTCTAAATTAGTAATCTTACATCATGATAGCAACTAAGGATGTAAAAGGAGTGAGTAGCAGCTCTTAGGGGGCACCATTTCATTTGTGGTGCTAATAGCTAAATGTAAAAGAAATATAAATCAGTGTGCAGTATATTTATGGTGTATTCCACAATAACCTAGCTTTTGGTTAAAAGAAAAGATCTTCTCATATCGTTTTCCAGTGGAACAAGATTTGGGTTTTGGATCTGACTTAGAAAGACAAACAACACAGCCCAACAGGATTTATTCCAATTAGAGTGCTTACAGCAAATCTGACAGAGTGGTACATCTGCTTAAGAAAACATCAGTGGGTTTCAGTGATTTATCTGAAGTTAGTTCTAATTCCTTTGTGGGTTTAGAGGAAAAGCGTAACCACATAATTAGCACTTGCCCAATGAAGAGGATCTGATAATATGTCTCGACAGTGGGAAGTGATGCTGTCAGCTGTGATCAGAGGCACACATTCCTCCACTCTGTACTGCAAAATCACACTTGACTGGCTGTTTGACCGAAGAGTCACTTACTAACTTGTGAGTGTATCAATTTGTCATATATCAAAATGTAAAGCCTTCTCTACCTAACATCGGGAGCGACACCAACTTATGGCTAGTGTTGAAAAGTTAATTACTACATTTACTCAATATCTGTAGGCTACTTCGGATACTCTGTATGAATTGTATTATTTTGCTGAACTTGTTTTTTATTGAGTATGAAGAGAGGTTGTCAGGATGATTTCAAGGGAACTTTGATTGGGAGTCATGCCAATCCAAATACATAGATATTTTAGGGGCATGGCTATTTGGCCGAAAAAGGTAATAGTCATGTGCAAAGTGGGGCCGTGTCACAGCAAATGTGTATTACCAGTTTAAAGTGCAAAGCTAACAGCGGTGTTCCCAAAAGGCTACATTCTGGAACATTTCAAAAGTTTGCGTGTTGGCCCAAAAAACAGCCAAACCACAGGAAAAGATAACCATTTTATGCCAAAAAAACGTTGTAAAGAAAGCCTTAGATATCCATTCTATCATTGTCATCCATGTCTTGCTTGACATGTCATTCTCTTGCCAAATTTGATTTATTTTTTATTATTTCATTTTGGCTCAGTGGTTGGCACAGCAGCCCTGTAGCTAAAAGTTCTTCACAGACTGCAGTCTGTCTGGGCTTTTTCTGTGTGGAGTTTGCATACAATGTTTGCATAGATTTCCTCCAGGTGCTCTCCCTATGCCTGAAACCATGCAGGTTAAATGAATTGGAAACACTAAATTGAGCGTATGAGTGAATTAACTTGTTGTAGTTTTCAACCCTGTGATCAACCTGTGTACTCTGCCTCTCATCCAGTGCATGCTGGGATAGGAAGAAACAATTTGTGGGTAAACGAAATGGACGGATTGTTTGATTTGTGGCTGCAATGTTAATTATTCCTTAAATTTTAAATGAATTCCTTATTGGAAAGCCGGCTTCCATCATGAAATAATGAAGTTTCAAGAATTTAATTAGTCTGGGTTTCAGGGAGTTTTAGTGACCCATGAAGGCTGAAATGCTGTTTAATAGAGACTTTTAAAGCCTGACAAAAATATAGTTCTTGAGAAACACTACTTTCGATTTTGAGAAAAAAAAAACACAAATGGATACTGCACAAAAGAGCCCCCCAGCAATAAATGTCCGTTACCCTCTTGTTTTAACACTATCAGGTGTCACTGTGCCAGCCAAAAGAGTCAAACTTAAAAAAAACAAAAAAAAGCCTCCACCGACATCTCTCTTTCCATTGAGTCAAACATATTAGCAGCAGTCAAAACAGTCATGCATGGGCATCTGTTTTTTCTCTTAGTGTGATAGATGTGGGTGGGAGACATAGACAGGAACTCAGATCCCCCAAAAGACACTCTTATAACAACATCCGACCTTTCTGGATAAACGCTATTCTAGAGTTCTGAGAAACTTTTAACATTGCAGCAGTTCAGAATATGTGAAATAAGGACATCAAATGATGGAGGTCTAGTAGATGACTATGTTCACCGCTGAAGTTGAACATCCCAGCTGCATGTAATGGAACATGTCAGTGTGTTTGCAAGTTTTCCCTCCTTAAAGGTCCAGTGTGTAACATTTAGGAAGCTCTATTGGCAGAAATGGAATATAATATGCATATAGGTATGTTTTCATTAGTGTATAATCACCTGAATATAAGAATCATATGTTTTTTTTACTTTGAATGAGCCGTTTATATCTACAGTTATATTCCATAGAGGCCACCATGTTTCACATTTGGGGAAAATTGCTTATTCACTTTCTTGATGAGTCTTGAGGACAAGATCATGTCTGTATAGTAAATATATTTTCCAAAATTTCTGAACTTTTCCTTGCTGCCTGCAACCAAGACAGACAAAATACATCTAACCTACATTTGTAAAACACAGCAAACTGGTTTCCAAAATAATTAGCTGTGACATAAAGTGGAAATGTGGGCAAATTCAAACCTGACAGCATTTAGTTTTTGCAAGTATATTGAGATTTTATAATGGTAGCATAAAACAAGACAGAAAATAAATGTGCCAGAAAAGTGGCACTTTCCAAGTCATACATAAAAAAGTTTCCAATCTTATAGAAACAGAAGACACTGTGAGTGAAAACAGTCAAACGTTTTGCACATATAAAAAGTATATCTTTGTTTTTCTTGATGTGAAAAAAGATAAATGTGGGAGTGTAGGAAATGCTGACTTTGTGGTTGACAAGTTTGCCAGTGCTTCGTGTTGCCGTTAGAAAAAGCAGCATTTTGCACATACCTGGAACCTCTTCAAGACCATAACTGGTGCTGTTGGGCTTAAACCGATCAGGTTGAACCTTCATCTTTGGACACAGGACATCTGAGGAGAAAGGACAAAAGCTCAGTTAGACACGCTGTAAATCAGGACATGGTGTTCTTTGGGGAGCACAGGGTAGGTAAAGAGAACAGGTTAAACACTTTTATGGGTAACTTTGTATCTTACTGTTGGAAATCTATACATGTGTTATTGTTTTCTTACAAAAAGCAGTCATTCTGAAACCTTATAAGGGGTCACACGAGAAACTGTGTGAGGTGTTGGATTGTTTAAGGAAATGGTGATCTCAGTGAAATGCAGCCTTTGGACTGATCTGGAGAGCAGACAGACTGCTCTCCATCTCTCCTGTCTGATGTCTGGGGAGTGGAGCGTGTGGGTGGAGGGCGGCTCTACAAGAGCAGGGGGCACATCCACAGGCCCAGGAAGCATTCACAGTTTTATATTTCAACACACACATATTTTGGTGACGGTGATGACAGTGAGAAAGGCAACACGGTCAGGTTAAGTTTTTATTGGCAGGAGGGATATTTTCTATTTGTGTCAAGATGCCAGCTTCACTACTAAAGAATGCAGATATGTATTCTGTTTAGTTTCATAGATGTAAACATTGGTTTAAAGATGAGAGTGACAGTTTTAAAGGGTCAGTTCACCTAAATGACCATTTGTCACTTTGAGGTGGTGAGTTTGGTTCTGGTCCTCACAGCATTGAACAGTTGCATTTAAAGAATAAAATGTATTCTTATAGAAACAGTTTCACAAACAGTTTCCTTGCTATCAACAGACTTTATTGGAACTGCTTGGGTAATACTTCCCATTGAAAGGGTTTGTTGTGAAGATTGGATCATGAACTTCAACCAATCAGATCAACGAACCACGCCCACAGCTCACGATGTAGCTACCAGTTTAGGACACTGCTTGAAGACTGGTAAGATGGATTCTTATCTCCAGCTACCTAGCAAAGTTACTTTGGTCCAGACTGAAATATCAAGTTAAAAAAGTTCAATTGAAGTTAATTGTACCAGTTCCATTCTGTTAATGGAACTTAAAACTAGCATATTTTATATTAGCTCATATGCAACAGTTCTACACACCTATTTAAAATGTGTTCATATAATTTATCTATATAAAATAATACTAACTTAAGTGCATTTCTTTACACAAATGTTACCACTTAAGTTGAATTTTCTAAATTTTCTTTCACTGAAGAAAATAATTACATTACCTGTCAAAACAGCTAACAATTAACAGTATTTACAATTAATCGATTATCAAAATGGTAGCCAATTCATTTTCAGTGGATCAACTAATCTCATTGTTAATGCAATATAAAACAATAGCCTGGCTGTTTTTTATCTAACACCAAATCTTTACACTTTCTTTGGATGCTTGCACATGTTATGATTTATAAACTGAAATAAAAACAATTTAAAGCTATACAGCATTATAGCACTGACCATAGTCAGTGGAGCTTACACTTTTGTAATGATGTCAGTGGAACAACACTTAAAATACTGCACAAATGTAAGTGTTATTAAGAGTTATTACTTCAGCAATTGATTTTTGAGTTTCAGTAATTTATAGGAATTAGTTACTCCACATGTTTTGGAGGATTAAGTTATGTTAACTTTTTTTTATTAAGATATGCTGTTTGATTTTACAGAGGCAACCAATGTTTACAGCTGCCGTAGGCAAAGCTTTTATGTAAGATTACACTCAGTTTATCAATCTAAATTAAATAAGACTGTCCCATCCTCACTTCCTTCTTCCAAATTATTCTAAAAATTGGTGTATTTGCACAAATCAAATCTTAGTTTTATCAAGACAAATTTGGAGTCATCAGTATTTGAAAATCACTCTTCCCCTGCATTCACTTCACAACTGACAAGGTGAACATGAATAAAACCTTCTCACCCATCCCACATGGCAAGATACATTTTCATATTGTTAATTAGGTGTGGCGGCAAATGCTGGGTCTTTCCATCCGTTTGTAGTCAATCTGTTCAGAGGAATATCTCATTAAACCTATTATTAGCCACAATTTGTCTGTGTCCTGACTGTCAGTCCTAAATATTATCTGTGGCCAAAAATGTCACGGTGAGACGCTTCAGCTTCCCTAATAGATCAAGTATCTGCCAAACATCTACTATCAAACCCTGCAATTTTCTTAAATCATAGCTATAAAAATCATCATGTCAGAGTGGCTTTTAACCTTTGTGACGTTCATTATGAGGACAGCTCTGTTGACATGGCTTGTTTTTCTCTTCCATGCAAAGCCCAGAGCATGTCTAATAGGAAAATCCAAGCGGCTAATTTAACTGTCAGCATTTGCATACTTTCTAGTCAATCTACAAGCGGCGTTATCTCCATTTCACATGGTTTATTTTTAATTTCAGCCATATGCTCTGTCCTTGTTTGTGTCTGTCATGAGTTTGTTTAGCAGTGAAATTAAAGGAGTCTTTTTTTTAAAGTCTCTCTAAGGTGATAATTGAAGATCTCACAAAAGATACTTGCTTTATGTTGTTTGTAAAGCCAGCGAGTCTACCAAAAATTACCATTCTGTGAATGAATGGAAGTGCGTCACTCTTTTTTTAAAGACAGTGTTGTTGCACAGCCCTGAGACTTAGCATGCTAGATAGCCGAGCTACTCCCTGCACTTGTGGCCCTGAAGCTATAATTTAGGGATCCGGCTGTGAGTTAAAATGGAAGCAATGTAAGACCTGCCTTTGTAAATGAATGTCTCAGACAGGTTCATGATATCAGCAGAAGCTTGAGCATTACAACACATCTAACAACCACCATTTTCTTTTTTGCAATTCTTACTATTACCTGTGTTTCCTGTCATCATTATGGCTGCTGAATTTTTTAAACACAATGTGGGGGTTAGACAAGAACTTTGATATTTAAGTTCTCACTGGGGTCATGTAAGGTCAAATGTTTGATCAAGGAGATCTAGGCCACACATGATGTATTGAATCAGTGCAGCACATAATAAGTAGTGTCCATTTTAAAACCTATAGATTAAAAGGTGAAAACATTAAACATGGACACTGGAGCGGCTGCAATGGACCCACTTGAAACATTAGAGCTATAATTTTCTGGGTGAAAATAACTTGCATTGCACAGGGAGCCAGTTGTGCTGACCACTGATATACTTAGAGACTTACTCGTGGTGAGTTTAGAGATTGCAAAAGAAAACATTAAAACTGTCTTTCTGTGTAAATTTAGTTTTTGGTTTGTTCTACAGAGTACTAAGCTCTATTGCACGTACAACACTTTTTATAAAATATAAGCTACATTATTCATTGACATAGGTGAAAACCTATGGAGTCAAGGAGCGTGGTCAAAGGTTGGGGGCTTTAAAATGACTCTGTGTTGCCCTTGCACCAGGATCACTCTGCAAGATGATATGTCTTTAAAAAAGAATAAAGGAGTCTGAATCAACACTTTTCTCAGAGGAGTCTCTACTTTTGCCTCGTCAAGCTTGGCAATTTAGAGCTAGATTGAAGGGAGAATTGAGAGTTTGTCGTTGCTTATCTGTGCGCTAAACCATGCAATCATGTCATTTCCCTTTTTGCATGTACTTTTTGCGGCTAAGACTTATGGCATCCTTTTCTTTCCTGTCTGGCTAATTTTAGGAAGGAATTTCAAGCGTTGGAGCGCAAAGCATCCACCTCCTCCATGAAAACACTCACACGTAGATACTTGTCCACTTCTCCACACAGCTACCGGACAACATAAAGCTCTTACTTTATTTTTTAAGCCTATTTTCCCTGATTCATTTGGCTATGTAAGCCACTTTCTAAGCCTGTGTGCCTGTGTTGAAAGATTTGCTCAGCACACTAGTGGAAAAACCATTGAGGTTAGCTCAAGACAGGCTTTCCAGTGCTAAACACCTCTGCACCAAAGCAGCAGTCAAAAAGGCAGTTACGCCACAGAAATGTCTTGGTTAGAGAACTGTCATTTACAAGCCAATTTTTGCAACAGCCCCCTCACATGCTTCATATTCAGTCAAAAAGAAGCCACGATTGCACCGTGTGGATGTGCAGCTGCTCTTTGTGGTTGGGGTGGGGTTTTGTGGTTAGGGTCTTTCCTCAGTATAGTGCTTAAAGGTTAAAATAAGAGTCTAATTTGATTAAGTGCACGTTCGGGGTGAGGCAGGCTCTTTAAAGTGAGGCTTAAAAAAGAAGCATGCAGTGTGAGTGATGTGCTGGCACTGGGCCTGATGGCCGACTTACTCTCGCACAGCCTCCTCCTCAGCCTGCCCCTGATCTTGTCAATGGCATTAAAGTCTGTCACGTGGAAGACGTGGGCATTCTTTGGCTCAGCCGCAATCTCCTCCAGCTCCACCTTCAGTGCCTCCCCGATGCCCACGGCAAACATCCTGATGCCAGCTTTGGCAGCTGCCTTAGAGGGCTCCAGAACATAATCCTGGCTTCGGCCATCTGTGAGAAGGATGGCCACCTTCTGAATGCCTCTGGCGACGGGCCTCGCTCCATTCCGCTCCGTGAAGATGTTGGTGGTGGTGTAGCTGATAGCATCCCCAGTCATTGTATTCCCCCCCAGGTAGCGTATGTTACGGGCAGCTCGCTTCACATCCTCCAGGGTCCTGTGTCTGCCCAGGGTGAACTCGGTGGTGGGTCTGTCACTGTAGCGTACCACGGCGACTCTTGTCTTGTCGGGTGCCACGTCGAAAGACTCCACGAGGTTGGCCACCCATTGCCTGATCTTCTCAAAATTCTCTTTTCCGACACTGGATGAGGTGTCCAGGATAAACGCCAAGTCATAGTGGACATTTTTACATCCTGTCATAGGTAAATACAGGAGGATTTAGTCACATGCAGTCAATATAAGCTTTTCCAGTGATGTTACATCAGAATATTCTGTCTTAATGGTCTTACCTGCCCTCTGTGCTTCCACTCTCTCTCCGGAAAGAGTCAAGGCCAGAATGACCAAGACCAGGGTGATCCTAAATCCCAGTCGTAATTCCATCTCGGCCTTGGTTTGGGTCTGTTTTGTTTAGCTTATTACCACCATCAAGCTGTCCAGCCTGTGGAAAGGTCAGTGGAAATATCAACAATGCAGGTTTACATGCACTCTAGCAGACACTACAGTCAGTACTTTGTAAATGCACAACTGAACTATAAGACATTTTAGAATCTAAATCTTGTTTGCCAAGCTGTCTCCTGGCAAACAGGATTTGTGATAATTTCTCTCCAACAGTGAACCCAAAGTGGGTGAAGCATTTCCTGTAGTGCAGGGAGATTGCTGTAAAGAAGCAGGCCTCCTGCGGTTGCTGCTACCACATCTCTATATTGACAAGGGACTGGCGGAGAGCTGATTTAAGATTGCATTAGGCACTTTGTATGTAGAAAGAATTAGGCTCCAGTATGAAAAAAAAATCTCTATCTCATCCCCCCTATTGTGCAGTATTTCTATTGTCCCCTGTTTGAATTTCTTTCTGGTATGGAAGCTGGCAGGAAATGTTCTCCGTTCTCAGGACGTGATAATTGAAACCTGAGAATGAAATACACATCTCTCTACAGCAGCAAGTGAATACTCCATCCAGAGAAAAGTGGACTCACCAAAGATTGTCGGAACTTTCTGCCAAACTATTTTTTTACCATCTCCACCCACAAGCCAGTAAAAGAACAACCTCAGAAGAGTGTAGTTTGCTGATGTTGCACTGCATGATTTCTTTTGAGATCCACGCAGGTATCTCTAGTTGTTATTTGGAGCCGCTAGCATGAAATGTGTGCAGCTTTGATCCACCAGCATGTTGCAAAGGACCAATCAATCCGTCTCTGTTGGATTAATTTATGAGGTTGTTGTGCCTGGGTGGCACTGACAGAAACTGCCATATAAACACAAAACTATTCTTGCTCTTATTGTACACCAGTGGTTGTGATTGCTGCCATTAGGGCTGATGTGTGACTGACTGTAGCCATAACATGGACTCATCCTGATTTGGAGTGTGTGTCAGTGCGGGGGGTCATTGTGGGAGGCTGAGGAAAGAGTTATGCACAACTTGGAAAGCAATCATACCAGTCCCTTGTGTTCTGAAAAGTTCTTTACCATCCTTCACCACCTTTCTGTGTTCTTTCCATTGAATTAGCTAGTGAATGTATTGGTTTCCACAGGTTAAAAGCAGCCAAACTTACAGGCTAGAATGTGCTTAATGGAATATTTTTAAGGAATACTTAGACATTTTGCAGAATATGTTTATTTTCTCTCTTGATGAGACTTGGGTGAGAAGATTGATACCTCACTCATACGTGTTTGTTAAATATGAAGCTATGCCCGGGTTATAGTTAGCGTAGCTTAGCATAAAAATTCGAAATAGCTGGTCTGGGTCTCTAAACCTCAAACCTCAATAACTAACATGCTTTATTTTTGTTCTTTAGTATGTACAAAAGCTAAAGTGAATCCAACTGTACTGTGCAGTATTGTTATTAACTGATGCAGACTGTGATAATTTATGTTTCCTTGACACTTGCAGTATTTCTCCTGTTTTAAAGATAAATATGTTGCCATCTTGGTAGCATATTTTAGTCTATTTATGACAAAAGTCAGTGGAATGAAGGATTATAAATAATAAATGTAATTACAGTGAGTATATGCTTGTGTAATTTTGAAATAGAAAGTAATTTGAGCAGGGAGTGAGTTCAAATGTTGTGGAGAGACGCAAATTTAAAAACAGCAAGCAGTTGACTCTGGCCTGACCTATATAGCCTGTAAAATAGAGAGTGCATTATTTACGGTGGGTAAAGGAAAGTGCTTTGGCCTCCAGATACAACTTTACTTATCAGATTCTCCATTAGGCTATTTCTGCTACTTGGTTTCACTGGCACTTTTAATGAGCAGAATAGGCATGCTAGCTGAATCACTCTAATTGCCCCAATTAGTGTGCATTAAAAATCTGAGAAATTCCACCCTGCAAGACTTCAGTGAAAAAAAAAACTCAGCTGCCCTATGAATGTAGCAGAACAAGATTTGGATTCATCCTCCTAATCCTCTTTACCCAACTTTGTACAAGTCTAACATATTCTCATTTGTCTACCTTTCATCTCTGATTACATTGAAATGCACTGCATGGGTCTCCCAGCGCTGTGTTGAATTAATCTGCAGTCTTACAAGCAGATACATTATTTGAGGTAAAGCTAAAAACAAGCTGGTATGCCTCTGTCAACATCTGAACCTGAGGGCCAGATTCCTTACAAACTGTGGGTCTGTATCATCAGGCCTGTTTCCACTTCCTCTCTCAATGGTAGACCTGGGACTGCAACGTAGATGTCTATAACAGAAGCACCACGTTTATCATTCCCAAAATGTAAAAAACAGAAGCAGTTGTTTTTTTTCCACATGCAACCCAAGAAGAAGAGAAAAAAAGGCTGTACTCTGATAGAGCATCTGAACAGCATGTGGATACAAAGAAACACCTCTTGCCAACAATTCAGAAACTGCTTAAGAATAAATAATTTTAGAATCGGTCTTTAGCGGAAGATAGTGGTGACAGATGGATGATTTTATAGTGCTTTTTTTTGTCCTTACCTGGCCTGTCACTCTGAGGTGTCTGTCTCTCTCTGCCTCCAGCACTCACACCCTGAATCAGCACAGGGGCAGCATCATTATCAGGTGATAATAATCCAAAATATCTCCCCTGCAGGTGCCAGAAATCAGGATGAGATTATTATATAATCCAGGGTGACAATCCAGTGTACAGTGTTGTTAAAAAGTGAGGTGAGGTGAGCTTGAGAAACCTTGGGTGGACAGAGTGGGAGGGAACTGCGAGAAGGGAAAGTGTAGGGTTTCACTGGGGGACGAAGTGGCTTCTACTGTTCTTGACTGGGCTGTGCTCACACATAAAAAAAGGCTGAGAGGCGCAGCCAATTATAGACCCAACTTTCTGGATATTTTTGTCCCTTTTTTTCCCCCCTCTTCTTTATGGCTGCGCCCATCTGAAGTGCTTGCCCTCAAAGAAAAGGCACAGCTTCTTGGCAACCGCCTCAACTGTCCGGCCTTTGCCACTGTGATAGCCACAGCGGAGCCGCCCTGGGGCTGGTGGTGGGCCGGGCCGTGTTGGCTTCAGCCAGCCACACACTTATGGAGAAGGGCTGTATTTAAGTTGGGGAAATGATTACAGAACACTTGTGCTTGCAGCTTTGTGTTAAATGTCTGTCCTCGCACTGACTTACAGTAAAACTCTGTGATCTATATTACTCATGTCGTGCTGCTTTGACAAGTTTACAATCATGTCGGACCACACATCTTTCATTTTTTTAAACACATTTTCATATATAACATATAAAATATATATCTTTTAATTATTTTATTTTTTTCACTTGCCCCAGGAGTTTTCCCCCACTTTTTCCATCCTAATTTGCTGTGTGTGAATGTGCTGTTTTTTTGAGCCCAACATTTATTTTTTGGAATATCCAAATTTCCTCAGGGATAATAAAAGTTTGATCTTATAATATCCACTTTGAATAACTGATTATTTATTTACAACAAGCAAACACACACACACACACACACACACACACACACAAAAACCCACACATTTTCACCTTGCAATGTCTCAATAGCTATCCCGTCCTCCTTAATAGAAAAGTCAGCATTGTTTGCCAACCTGTAAATCTACATCTTGATCTGATAAATACATTTGCAGGAAGACTGTAATTCCCATTTCAGTGTACGCTGATGTCCTTATCATGTGTTGTCATGCTCCCTGGCAGCAGAGGAAGCTGCAGTGAAACGCAGCAGCCCTCTGTGTCTCTGTCTGTGTCAGACATCCTGCCTGGCAGACGTTCTGTGTTTCTCCTCTGAAGTCCTCTGCATCACGAGTCTCATGTTGGCAGCTCTTGGTTGAACTTTCCTCTTTAATGTGCTCCCACAACTGTCACCACATGCTTTTGCTGCATTAGAAAACATATCCAAATATGCCGTGGAGTTGTCGAGGCACCAACATTTTTCTTCTAAAACACAGTGTCAATATTTGAATGTCATGGACAACAAACAGGTTAGTTATTTACAGTGCCTTTGTAGCCAAGGAAAGTGAGCGCAGGCCAGGCTATGTATAGGCTCAGCGTGAAGTGGATGGGAAGTGGGCTGACGTTCCGGGCCAGATGCACGTTATGAGTAATGGTGTTAGTGTGAGGGACCGTCTGTCGCCTTATGTGCGAGGGCTAAAGAGGTGACCAGCATGTAGGGTGAGTGAGAGGCTGCGAGTACAGTGTAGTGTTGGAGAATGCCATCTGTCATCTGATTGACAGCCAGCTTTCAACTTCCCACATCAGAGAGAGGCTCTTCGTCCGAAATATGTTTGAAATATTAATGTGTGAATAAGAGCTGAAGCAGGACAGACTATGCATTTTTAAACTTAGGTTTAAACTTCAAGGTTACATTTTCACCATACGGCAGCATTACCCACATTACTTTTTATGCATTATTTTGCCATGTATGCCACCAGGTGCCCCCCAATCAGGGAAATTTGCTGCACTGCCTTACAGCACAAAACAGCAAGAGGGCTCTGTTCTCTGCACCAACAGAGTATTAATTTTAACAATGGATCGATTGTGCTTAAAGGGGACATTACACATCACAGTCTGTTGATAGTTCTTAGGAGTGATACTGCCTATGTCAGAAAGTCTGATGTCACTTGAGTCAGAGTCTCGGAGGCTGAAGACTACAAGTTTAAAAAACATTTGGGGCTCGTCTCTGCTTCAGGATAGCTCTATTAGCCGCTACTAGCATAACCTACCAAACTGTCTGTGGTTGAGTTGAATTATTGGTGCCAGGTTTTGACAAGTAAGAAGAGCACATGGTTTGTAAAAACTGTCCATCAACCTTGTTTCCAGCGTGGCACCCTACCTGCGGGTGCCCCCATGTACCAAGGCTGAGTCCTTGCTGCAGTGGCCATGGGTTCGAGTCTGACCTGTGGCCCTTTGCTGCGTGTCAACTCCTCTTTCTCTCCCCTTTCCTGGCTATCTCAAGCTGTCCTGTCAAATAAAGGCAAAAAGCCCCTAAAAATGTATATATATATATATATATATATATATATTTTAAAAAAATGTTTCCAGCAGGCAGCTTCCAGTGAAAAATATGATATGATACGAATTGATAGATCCACGGTAAGCTACCTTCCTGGCACTAATCAACAAACAGACGATTTTTGCAACATAGTGGAGCATTTAAGCCAGATTTCTTTCTTAGGAGTTGGTAGAGACCAAAACAGAATGTTGGACTTGTCAGGTGGACAGAAACACAGCTCCAAATGAATAACTGTTTGCTAACGCATTAGCTGTATCAATTTAGTGTTTAGAGCTTTATTTGCTGCCCAGGAAAAGTGGCCAGGAATCAATTATAACTAAACATTTTCATTTACAACAGTAATTATCCGGTTGTCATTCAGCAACACCTCTTCTGAAGAGGGACTACCTCCTATCAGTCAGATTTTGATACAGGTTTGGTGTAAGATGTTTCTGTGGAGGTTTTGATGCTTTTTCCCTTTGGCCCTGGGTCATCAATGCAGTCCATTGTAATGGTTTCTGAATTCAAACTGAGTATAGTTGTGCTCTTCTGTGAAGAAGCAAGATATAATCTGTTCAGAGCCACCTTTCAGGGTGTACCATAGCTCACCTGGTAGAGTGTGTACCCCATGGGTTCTTACCTCAGTGGCCTGGGTTTGATTCCAACCTGACATCTTAAAAAAGCCACCTTTCAAGTTGATACATAAAAATGTTTTTTTTGAGTATTCTTTTAACAGAGAGGTTTTGATAAAAAAATCCCTCTGTGAAACAAAGTGTGAAAGAACGGAGGCTACATCTTGGCAACTTTGGCTCTGTAGCACCTCACAGGTGTTCTCATCTGATGCCTCTGAGCAAAAGACAGAGGGGAAACTCAGTTAAGCATGTTCCTTCTCTTCAGTGAAGTTTTAATAGTGTTGAAAGAAAACCAAAGGCAAAAAGTTACTCCTTCCAACAAAAGCAAATATTGGACAAAGATAAACTGAGGACTGAAACAGGCAGTGTATAATGACACGGACAGTGAGATCATAAGGACCTATTTTATGCTGAGTTATATTGCTGATGTTATCTTCCTGGCTAATGACCAAGGTCAGATCAAGCATCATTCAAAGAGGACTTTAAGCATCAGCCTAATCTTCCAGAGTGCAGAGCATTGTGGGTGGGGGAGGAGGGCCATCAAACAACAACAAAACAGGACTGCTCCTGCTCTTTTAAAAGTAAGAAATTTAGCAACCACTGCTCAAATATGTAAGTCATATCATATCTCTATTCCTTAAGAGAAGTGAATGGTTTTGTAACATCTTATTTTACTTAAGTTAATCCAAGCCTACGTTCAGACTGTCAACCACATATGAACGTCTCCCAAATCAGAAGTGAAAAGATCAGATTCCTTGTGATTTGTGCTGTTAACAGATGTGAGTCATATGAGCAAAAACAACCCATCAAATTTGGGCCACTTGTGCCTGCAGTGTGAACGTAACCTAAGATTTAGATGTTGGGTTATATGTTGAATATGTATGCGCATACATTACAGTATTCACTATTATATGCAGGATTCATCTGATAAAAGTTGTATTGAATGATCACATAAGGATGTTCACTGATTGCTAGTCAATCAGTATCTGTCTGTTACATTGTACCAACTTTGTTTGTATAAGAAACTTCTGTGCTGTTTCATTATCTTGGATCATCTACAGCCCTCCATGATGTGCCAGAAGCCTCGCTTTGTGCCCCGCCTGCTTCACCTAATTGAATCAGTGCATCCTCTGATCTGGGGGAACAGCTTTTGGAAATGGGACGATCCATAACTTTGAGCGACCTGGCTTACACTTTTATGAAATGTTGCTCATTTATTTATTTATTTTCTATTTTTGGTAGCACTAAAGAAAGTGCCCCGGACCATTAATGAACTAAAAATTGGTCTGGCTTTGAGCCAGCGATGTCTGCTAGGCTGCTGTTTCCCTCAGAGATTTTACAACAACACACTGTACGGGGCATTTCATTTAAGTATGGAAGAAAAATCTAGTGCAAATAATCCATCCATTATCTATCCTTTGGAGGGTCGCAGGGCCTGAACTGATCCCAGCTGACAGTGGGCGGGAGGTGGGGTTCAACCTGTACATGTCACCAGTTCATCACATGGCTGGCATATCTCAATATAAGTGAACAGTTTAAATAAATAATGTCTTGAAAATATGTTTCTAAAATTAACTTTATTTGCTCGTGGTATCATTTTAGAACAGAAGCAGACTGTAGCTCTTAAAAAGGACTAATGCTGTAAAGCAGTTTATAATGGCACAACTTTAGAAATTATTTTTTGATTTCTACATGTGTTTTTTCAACTACTGAGAAAGTGCCATTTGGTTCATGTATCCTTCTTTTCACTGTTTAGCAGACTATGAATCAGCTTTCAAACTGGGATATCAGCCTGTTTCTGGCAGGTCTCTTCAGGACACAAGTGCATCTCTAAGCATTACATCATTTCGCAAAGTCCTGAGTTGCAAAAGCGAAAGATCCAATTTAATTACAGTTGGAGACGTTCCAGAGGGACTGCATTGTTATGCCTTGTGATCAAGGGTTTCTTCCTCTTTAATCTCCAGTTAGAAGCACTTGGCTTAACACCCTCGAGTGCATGTTCACTGCTCCCACCTTCAGCCGACTGTCGGTTCAGGGTGCATCTCGCAGATTGCTGACTGCAATCCTCTTGATGGCTCTTCCTGACACTCCCGTACTCCCAGGAGAC